GGAAAGGATCCTACAAGTACCTTGGTGCTTAGTAGTAAAAGAAGAATGCAAATATATTTGTTATCAAACTAAATACATATAATAAACAATTAAACATTACTCAATAAAAAACTACTCTTCAATATTATTTTTACTTTTACTCATAATACTCTCACAAACATTAAAACTTGTATACTTATTTATAGATTTTTATGTGTTGTATTTAATGAGTTGAACACAAGTTTAATATCTCTTTTTTATGGCATAAAAATAATCGCTTTTTATAAACTATAAAAAAATATATTTACTTGTATAAAAAAATGCTTATTTATAGTAAATTTATATAGGAGTTGATATGATGATCCTAAGTTTGATTTTTGTTTGTTAAAATAATATTTAGTTAATAGAAATAATATTTCATGAATATAAATTAGTCATTGATTATCAGATTTCGGACACTGCATAAATTATATTTATATAAAAAAAAAATTATACATGCTAAAATAAAAGATAAAGAACGTAAACTATAAATATAATTAAATATAGTCTTATAAATGAGTTTTCTTTTTATAAAGTTGTATAAATGAGTTAAACTATTCATAAATTATTTTAATTTAACTATTGAGTGTATGTGCTTGATTAAACCAATAATTTCAAGCTTTAATTCGATACCAAAGATTTATAACAATCACAAACTCTTTGACATTTATGCTTTAATTTGTACCTAGTTATTTAACTATGATCTTAAGGTTAATAAATTGTAAATAAGTGCTATATGTGTGTATTATTTAAATGTTTGTAATTTTGTTTATAAATTTTCTTAAAGAGTTATAATTAAATCTATAATAATTTTATATTACTGCTTACCAAATTTAAAATAAATAATCATCATTCATCAACCTTCTTTAAAAAAATTCTCATATCTCCATCATCAAAATTTTATGTATTTTTTTTAACTGATCAAAATTATAACAAAATTATATAGTGTAGGTATTTATATTTATTTTTTTAATAAAATATTTGATATATGTTAAATTAATAAATTTAGAATTAAATCTAGTAAGAAAATCGATAAATGTAATTAAATTATAAATAAATTAAGAAACTTAAATTTAAATTTCATAGTTTTAAAATAAGACAATTTCAAACTAAAATTCAACTCATTTGAACAAAATAAATTTTACTTTAGCAACTACTCTTTTTTCATAAATCAAACATAGAAATTCGCTGGTCAAATTTACTCTTCCATCACATTCACGCCCTTATTTCTCCAAGTATTTTGATACTAATAGTCTCGTACTAGTATTGTACTGTGTTCTGTCCACCAGAATAAAACAAACAAAAACAAAACATTCAAAGATATACAGAACCATAACCAAACCAACCAAAGCCATAGCCACCTTCCTCAAACCCAATTCCTCAACAGTTTTCCACCCTTTTCTTCATCTACTCTTTCCAAAAAGGTAAGCCTTTTATGCTTCCACCCTTCGCTTTCCCAGTTTTCATGGAGTGTAACTGGTTATCTACTTGAGTTTTAGCCACCCTTTTGTGCCTTGCAAATAGGGTTCCATGCTCTGAATTTGGTTGTAATGGTTTTTACCTTCCACCTTTTTCTTCTTCTGTCAAAAGGGTTTCTATTTCGGTGGTGTGGGTCAAGGTGTTTCCTATGTTATGCTGTTATCCACTTGAGTCTTGTTGTTTGATTGTTTCTCTGTCCCTTTTCTTCTTTCTATAGTAATGATTCTTTGGATCGTTTTCTGTTTTGTAAAGTTTAATTTTTGATAAAAAAATTTATAAGCTAGTTGAAGTTAGTAACTGGGAAGTTATAATATAGCTATAATAGACATGAAGATTGATGTTCCATGTCAAGGTATTTATGTTTATAAATTACAATTCATTTCAACTATTATTATCGACATCGAGTAACAAAATTTAGATGCACCTCCTAATGTTCTTTTAGTATTGTTCTAATTAGAATTGATGTTTCACCTTAGTAATCTATGTTGACCTTTAATATAAACTTTTTTTTATGTAGATTATTAAGGTGAAACTATGATTCTAATTAAAAGAATACCAAAAGCACTTGAGGAACTGCTCTAAGTTTTGCCATAAAATTTGTATGCTATATGGCCTTATTTTGTACCTAAGAATAATTTATTTCTATGGAAATCTTTTGGATTCTATAATCATTTCTCAAAATGTAGGGCTTGGCTTCTTATAACCTGCAATTATATACTTTGTGTTTGTTTGTGTAATTTAGAGTTTTCATTGATGTAATTGTGGCTTTATGAAATCTAAGTTCGTTTCTTATGGGATTAACCGATTAATCCTAAATACTACTTTTTGGCTTGTGATAGCAGTATAGATGCATAAAGTCTGGTGGCCTCTGATTTGATCCATTCTTGATGTCAAACAACAAAAGAGAACAAAATTGTCCACGTTTTGATCAAATAACAGAAGAGTTAGTCGAAAATGGGAGGTTGCTGTTGTTCTGCCAGAAAACCTCATCTGCAAGGAGCACCAGTGTGTTACTATGTTAGTAGTCTTCTATCCTCTCTTTACCTGATTTGTAACTTATGTAGCCCACGTGGTAGCTGATAAGAATCTGTCTAGTAATCTCACTCTATCATTTTTGTTTTCAACATCCTCACCTATATAATCTTTTGATCATTAGAATTAACAGATTAGCGAAGAACCAGTTGTTGAAGAAAAATTCAAACTATTTCATAATCAACTTGCTATTGTAAGCCTTAAAATGGTTGCTATAGCCTATAGGGGACCCACTACATTAATAATATATGATTTGTGCTCTATTTTGTTTACAAAAATCACTTTTTTCACGTTTTTGGAGCTTGACCATAATTGTTATGGATGCTATGCAGTCTAACTCTTCCTAAAAGACCAAATTATGCCCATTCTTTCTTGAGTAAATTACATTGACACTCTCTGAGGTTTTGTGAAATTGCACACATCTCCCTTGCCTTTTTAGCCTTTACAGCAACCTCCCTTATAGAGGATCCCAGTGTATTTTTTTTCAAATAATTAAGGGGAGATAATGTTATGTCTAAGGAGTGTCAGTGTAATGTTTCTCAAACAATTAAGGAGAGTTAGTGCAGGGGTAAAAAAGAAAATAGGGTGTGTATGCAATTTCACAAAAACCTTTAGGGGTGTCTATGTAATTTATTCACCTTTCTTTTACTTCAAAACATGATTCTCTGCTGGATGTAGATGTCAAATGAGAAGGTGGCTGAGTTTTAATGTGAAATGGATTGTTTTCATTGTTCTATTCAAATTTAAATACTTCCAGAAGAGTAATCTGGTCTGGCTACTAGTTGTTACTTTAGTTTATGGTTTATAATTATTTGTTATGAGCTTATGATATGATGCCTAAAATTCCATTTTGCAGTGCCCACCAACTTTTGAAGAGCGCGAATCTTTAACTTCTAATGATGGTACAAATGCTTCGCGCAATGCTGGATTTCTGGTTGGTTTGAACCTGGAAGGATCCATGCCTGATACTTTCCAGCCCCCTCCTGTGCCTCTACCTTATGATACAGTATTGGGAGGTTTTGCATCAACAGATTCCGAATCTGGAAGAGAAACAGTTAGTAGTTTTGAAACTTTAATTACACGTGAAGATGCTGATGAATCAGATTGTAAAGCTCAAGCCAATTCTGCTCCTACATCTCCAAGGAAGGCAGAACTATCAAAATCAAATGTAACTCAAGTGTTAGTGACAGAAGAGGAGGATGTTTGTCCAATTTGTCTTGAAGGTACATTTTGTGTTATTGAAAGTGAAGTTTTTGGTGTTAGATTTTCCACTGAATCAAGAGGAATGAGTTTTCCCTCTCTCTCTCTCACACACACATATGATGAAAATAATAATTTGATTCTTCTTTAATGCAGAATATGATGTTGAGAATCCTAGAAATTTGACAAAATGTGAACACCATTTTCACCTTTCTTGCATTCTTGAGTGGATGGAAAGAAGTGACTCCTGTCCTATATGTGATCAGGTTTGGCCTTTGCATTAATTCCGTATTGCATGAAAATCCTCATCCTAGACTCGTTTCCATTGAATGCATGCTTGGTAATGCTTAAATTTGGAGAAAAAAATTGCGTATTTTTCAAAAGCTATCTCATGAAACTGGTAAAAATACATGATTATTTCTTTAAAATAAGTTGAAACAAACATGCACTAAATGTCACAATCGCGCTGACTGCACTATATATGGAAAATTAAAAAAAGAGGGGCGAAAAAAATGTCTTCCTCTTACCTTTTTTTATTGGCAAATTAACTCTAGCAGTCCCAGCTAGATGCTTAGTATTGCTTATTGTTGGCAATAAAATACTATCTGCCTGCCCATTTCTTAATAGTAAGGTTTGTTTGGATAAACTTCTCTAGAAATATTTCTTGGAGAGAAAAATACAAAAAAAAAAAATGAAATAAGCTTATGTTGGGATAAATTTCTTAAGCCAAATAGAAATTTTCCAGGCCAGACTCATCATCTGTGCTTAGAACTCCAGTTAGCAGTGTGCCATTGCCATCTTGGAATTATAACGTTACACCACCAGTCAGTCTTCCTCAAGTGACTAAAGGTTTTCTTTAGCCTGAATCTTTTTTTGTTTTTAATCTTAAATTGTATATGAACTTTTCTGTATTTATTCTATGACAAACTTAGATATGTGGAAACTTATGTTAACATGAATTTTCATTTTTATGGTTAGATGATAGGATGTTGAGTCAACAAGCCATTCCTTTCAATCACTGCTATAGCAGTAGTAATGAGAGCACTCCTAGGGGTTGGCCAAGTAGCAAACACACAGATCAGGCTGACCAAGGAAAGCCAATTAAAGGCCAGTCAGTCTTCCTCAAGTGACTAAAGGTTTTCTTTAGCCTGAATCTTTTTTTGTTTTTAATCTTAAATTGTATATGAACTTTTCTGTATTTATTCTATGACAAACTTAGATATCTGGAAACTTATGTTAACATGAATTTTCATTTTTATGGTTAGATGATAGGATGTTGAGTCAACAAGCCATTCCTTTCAATCACTGCTATAGCAGTAGTAATGAGAGCACTCCTAGGGGTTGGCCAAGTAGCAAACACACAGATCAGGCTGACCAAGGAAAGCCAATTAAAGGTAGGAATGCTTTTTTGGCTCATATTTCAATTTGCTTCAACCTGAAATTGTCTGAAAAGTGTTGGTTTAGATTCATTTACTGTTGTTCAATGAAAATTATCTATGATCTAAAAAAAAGTATTTCAATTTGACCAAGGCATTCCATTATCATTCTAAGGAGTTGGAACATGAAGCTCTATTTTATTCATTTACTATTGTTCAACTCATTTTTTCTCTTCTATAAAGAGAAATGTTAGTACTATTAAGTTCATCATGATGTGTGGCATGCAAGATACCTGGTGTTCCAACTATTGAACATCTGTTTTATTAGTGTGTTCATGATTTTTTTCATGCTTCTCTTGACAAATTCACCTGTCCTACTGAACAGTAATGCCGGATTTTGCACAAGTCTATAGCTTTATTGGCAGTGTATTTGATCCAAAAGCAACTAATCATCTACAGACGCTGAAGCAGATGGATCCAATAAATGTGGAAACTGTAAGTGATCTAAGTCCTCTACTTTCTTTGGCTTCGTATCATTCTTTTCTTTTCCCTTTTTTTCTATGGTGACTTGGTGAGTATCCAGGGATTGAGATATCAGACTATACTTGATAGGAAAATCTAATGTTTATGATTTAATTGCTAGGCCAATGTATATGGGACTTACATGGTTTTTTTTCTTATGCAGGTATTGTTATTGATGAGAAACCTCTCCACCAATTTAAGGAGTCCTGAATTTGAGAATGATGTAAGATTTGTTCCTAATACCGCGCTTCTTTTGGTATTCTTTTTTTATGGACGTAATTATTGTACACATGAATCTATTTTGATGCCTCTTTCATGTTTTGATCTTCTGCTTCATTTATTATATATTATGATGCTTGTTTGATATGATATTTTCAACTGTGTGATTGATTATGTTAATACCATCAAAATACTGATTTTGCAATCTTGGTATTTTTTTTTTGCCGGAAACTTCAGTGTAAGGCTTAGATCTGGGACTATAGAATTTTTTCTTAACACTTATTTTGATAGAGTTTATGATGCCGAATTAATCTTTGATTTTTTCATAGTGGATGCTTTTCTTTGCACAAAACAAAAAAGTTCAATTATATTGTTTGCATTTGCCTATAATTATGGTGTTGTAATGCAACATTGTTTAAGGCTGTCAATAACAAAATAAGCATTTTCAAATTTCCATTTCTGATTGTATCTGATTTAGCAATGATCTGAAATTCATTCATAGCTGTCAGTTTGCACTTTCCTGAGCAAATTGTGGATATTATGCCATTAAAAGAACATTTCCTTGTCACCATGCTTTCACCATGTCACATAAAGCACAGATGCTATTTTCACATGCACATACATATGCCAGTCAGGCAATTAAATGGAAGAAGAATTACTGTGTTAATTTAATGGATATTACTTAAAGCAGTATTTAATAAGTTATGTTAAATTCTTTCAAATACTTAAAAAATAAGTTTAAGAGTTTGTTTGGATACAAACTAAAAGTACTTCTGAGAACTTTTTTACTGAGAAACACTCTTTATTTTCAATAGAGAAGTTTTCAAAAACACTTTTAAACTTGTTTGCAAACATGCTCTAAATGATTTTTACATTTTCAAATAATAACATTTTTGTCCTTTTATTACACATACTTTCTACATTTGTTTCCTCAACTAGTGACCTAAGGGCACCCGATAACATTTTCCATATTTAAGTGGGATTGTCTTCTTCAGCTGCATATTATTCCCATGCTGTGTGTTAGGTAGAACTAGAAGGGTAGAATAAAGAGAAGTGATTAGAATTAGTTAGGGACAAAGGGCAGTTAGTTAGAAGAGACTCAATTAGACAAATAGGGGGATAATAATAGAGAAAGAATACAACCAAGCAAGAGAGCCTCTTTTTCCCTATTCAGATTTCTTCATTCAATAAAGTTGTTCCCTCCATTTAGCTGTTTTTAATCAATTTAGCTACTCTAGATTTAGTTTCATAACAAATAAAAAATTCATATTTAGCACATGTGTTCTCCATGTTCTTTTGCCGCAAGTATTCATTCTCCTATCATTTTGCTGAATAAAATCCTGATATCATTTATTGGCTTATAGCATTTGACTTTCCAAAATATGACATCATAAAATATTCAAATGATTCACTTTTCACCAAACATTTGGAATTAATGCAGAAAAGGTTGCTGTCATCATACAATGCTAACTTGGAGAAAGGAAAATCCGGTAGTCATCTCAGAAACTCCCTTACTGGCAGATCAGAGAGTGCTGTCTTAACTGCTTAAGGTCTCATGAAACAGATTTTAAATATTTTTCAAAAACACAATAAAGTTTCCTTCAGGTACCACTAGCACCAAATGGTGAAATATTAGGCACAAGAGGGGTAAGGATTACAGGTTTTACTAACAGTTTGTAGGGTGTTTCATGTGTGCAAGTGTGTGTGTGTGATGTACTTTCCTTTAGGCTTTTGAGTGTATCTTATGAAGATGGTTATCCTAGGAATGCAGGATAATGAGAGTCCTGCTAAGGTGACCTTTGTAGGTTGCAATGTACAGAATAGTCTTAGGAGGTGCTCCTTGTGTTGTATATAAACCAATAAAATATATCATCCTATATTAAGTTACATTGATTAAAAGCTTTGCACTAAACTACTTCAATTTTATAAATTACCCTTTATTTTCTTGGCAACATCAAACAAAAATATCTTCAACGGTGTGCATATAATTAGCATTTTTTTTCTTCTTATAATTATAGAAAATATGCATTGTAAAATGAATACTTTTAAATTATTCATAATTATTTTAAATGCTAATCTACAAATTATTTATAACACTTGAGAATGAAAACAAATTATTGATCATGACTTGTAAAAAAAGGTTTCTCATTTCAATTATGATTTGTTCATAATAAAAAGAATTCAAAGGGTGACGTGGATATTATAATTTATGTATATAGATTTTTTTTTTGAATTCTGGCTTATTTTTTGTTCTCAAGAGTTAAAGAATAAGATTTTAAATTCTCTATTTTGAACAATATACTTACACTTAGAGATTTAGCAAGAATTGTTTTCGTGTTTATACATCTATGTAAAAGATTTAGCTAGAAGTGATGTTACAGAAAATAGATTGTTAAAAATTCGACCTTGTTTAAAATTTAATGTAAAATAAAAGATAAAATTTACTTATATTATTTCTACTAATAAAGGAATATTATTTACCTTTTTCGTATAATAGGGGAGAGAACTTGTATAAATGCGATAAGTTTTGTAGCAAATGAGATTTATCAAATTAGGAAAAAGACGCATTAATTAACTAGGATAAGAGAAGATTATAGATCAATAATTAATAGTTATTGTAATTATTTGAGTTATGCAAATTTAGTGAGATAGAAAGATACTTAAAGACAAGTAACACATAATTTGTTGATATCATAAAATTATACTTGTAGAACAATTTACCCGTCAACTCAACACCCACTTTAGGTTTATTGCTTATCTAAAATGTATTGCTGTGACATCAAATAAAAACTTATTGTTATATATTGGAACATTTATCATCTTAATCATTACATTTGCAAATTATATAGAATAAGAGATATTTAATGATGGAAAAAATCTTATTTAACAGTTACTTAAAAGTTTTCAATTATTAACTCCCAATGTCATAATCAACATCCCACCAGTCCACCACCTTGATAGGCCTGTTTAATGATTCGCATTTTTGAAAATAGCATATTGATAAAATATTTATCAAGTTCTACATAAGTTAGATTTTTTTCCGTCTTTAATTCTTATGAAGTAAAGTAACTTGGTTGTTTCCATTTTTCCAAAAGTGGAAACTGTTTATATTGTGATGAAGAAATTATTCATAATGCAAGACTATGATAATTTTAATTAATCTTTGCGACACTTGATCAAGCGTCAATACATGTCACATTGGGATTGGTTAGGACTATCAAAAGATCAGTCATGTATGTTTGACTGCCTAAGATTTTACGAAGTTATTTTATAAAAAAAAATTACAAAACTACTCCGAATAACATTTTTTTGCTAAAATTAAATTTCTCCAATCACACGTCGTGTCATTGTCATGAAAACAATGCCATATTGTGAATTATAAATATTTTTTCTAGCGAGTTCTGTCTAATTTAGAAGAAAGAAAAATTCAAATTTAGGTGTTTGATTTGAAAAATTATTTTGTTTTCATTTTTTGAAAATAATTTTTATTTTCAAATTTTCAAGTTTAGAAAATATATTTATTTTTAACTCTCATTTTCTATTCTCTAAAATTGAAAACATAGAAAATTTGCTTGGTTTAACTGATTTTGACAATATGCATGTATTTATAATTTGTTATTAACAAATTTGTTTCTACATTTTTAAAAATAAGTGTCCAACCCACATATAAGGAGATAAAGTGATTTATTAAAACTGCACATAAAGTAGTTCATTTTTCTACTTGTATTAGTCATGCGACATCAAAGATATTATGTAATGATCATACAACATAATTTATGCAGACCTCAAACCTAATTTAATGGATTTGCACCCATAACATTACTATATTAGGACAAAAAAAGTACCCAATAAAATTATATTCGCAGATTCCTTCCTCCTCTCCTTATATACTTTCCTTTTTTTCATAATCGTTTTGTCAATATTTTATTATTTTTTATTATCACTTTTCTAAAATTATGACTTATTAAATTTTTTTTTATTTTTATCCTTAATAATTAATATATATTTATTAAATAATGTGTCTATTCATTTTTTAATATACTTATTTCTTCTCCAACCACCCAAAAGGTTGTAATAAATACTATGAAACACTAAAATATCAATTATTTTCTTAATTCTTATGCATAACCTTAAAACAACAATGAAAAAAAAAAAAACCCACCAGTCAGTCTTCCTCAAGTGACTAAAGGTTTTCTTTAGCCTGAATCTTTTTTTGTTTTTAATCTTAAATTGTATATGAACTTTTCTGTATTTATTCTATGACAAACTTAGATATGTGTTTAATTTCTATAATAGGGATTGCTTTGGCAATATATTAATCAATTTATTTAATTAAAAATTTATCAGACAAATTAATTAATAAAGAGGGTCTATAATCTGCCAACATTCGCACTCAAATTTGATATATAAAAAAAAATATCAATTTAAATTTGAACATAATATCAATCAAATTTCAAGAAAATAATTCTTACGCGAATGTCATTAAAAAAAATCGTATATTAATCATATAATATAACAACAATGATTTTGACAAAAAAACAAAAAAATCCCACTTCTGGTGGTACTCAAAGGATCAAACACAATATTATTTTTCCACTTCCGGTGAGAAAAATATTCTTTTATTTCATTGTTGCACAATTAACTCACTTCTGGTGAGAAAATATTTCTTTATTGCATTGTTGCACAATTAACTCACTTCTGGTGAGAAAATATTTCTTTATTGCATTGTTGCACAATTAACTCACTTCTGGTGAGAAAATATTCCTTTATTGCATTTTTGCACAATTAACTCACTTCCGGTGAGAAAATTAAAAATTCAAAAAATTTCTACATTTGACAATGTCTTCAGGATCATTGCAAAATTGTTACATATACAAATTTATAACATTCACAGAAAATTATACAATTTCACACAAATTCTCTTTAATAAAAATTCAATTTTTAATCGATCTCTTTATCCGTATAATCAATTAAACCAAATTGAAGCAAAAAAAAATGACCAACGCATTCAAATACACGTATTATCAATGAAGAGAGAAAAAAAATTGTAACAATACACTTTAGAACCCCATAACCTAATAACAACGGCGGCTCTGAAACCACTTGTTGGGATAAATTTCTTAAGCCAAATAGAAATTTTTCGTTAATCAATATTAAGAACCGTTGTCTCAGATTACAGAGTTAATGATAATAATACGTACCTGTATCCATTGACGTTGATCAAAAGGTTGCAGCGGAATAGTCTTTTGGTACAATGATCTTCATCAGCCAAATCACTGGATTCCTTGATGGGACTTGATGTTACTCTTCTGATGAGGAGACAGAGAGACGTGTGTTTCTGATTTGGCATATTGGGGACCATGACCATCTTTATGATTTTAAATCTATTAGGGTTCCCATTAACCTCTAACGAGCCAAATCTGGTTTCCACTTATTTGGGCCCATATCAGTTTTTCCTGTTGGCAGTCTAAAGGCTCACTAAAATTAGATCACTTTTATTGAGTTCAACTAAATGTAAATAACTAATATAAATACTACAAATAATATATGTAGCCCACAATATTTATTAGAAATAAAATTTCTAACAGCTTATTCATAAGTTAAAATTAACTTATACATAAATTAATTTATATAAGTTTTCTCTTATTAAATTTTATATAATCATATTTATGCATAAGTTAGTTTTAGCTTATGAACAAGTTTATTTTGATTTTCCTTTTTTTTTTTTTTTTTCTACTAGAAGTACTTTTGAAAAAAATTATCCAAACATACCCTAAATCAATTATGAGCTTTAGTGAAATACTCTCTTTCCTTTGATGTTACAGGAGATGATATTTTGACCAGACAATGATTTAGTTTGATTGTTTTAAAATCAAAGCTTATTAACGCATGGAAGATAGATGAAGTTCATTGTATGATAACGGGTTAGATGATGGTAGCTACAGATTCATTTTCAATTCGTGGTCCATTGATAAAGTCACTATTTTAGTAGGCCCAGTCATTGGGTATCTGTGAGAAGAAGAATGAGGTTTTGATAGAATTCTACACCATATAGCATATCTAAGACTAAGATGCCTTTTCTTGTGTTGATTTAATGCTCTCCATTCTCTTGTAAAAATTTCTCAATATTTATTTGTTTTCTAATATTTTTTTTTTCTGGGGGATGCATAATGGTCATGCTTGACTTACATTTTCATTTTATATATATATATATATATATATATATACACACACCTTAGTAGATTCTTGGGGCTTCAGT